TCAACACCTGCTTCCCATGGTGGCCTAAGCCAGTCTTCCAGGTGAACTCTTGAGTGCCCTGGCTGAGGGTGTCCATTAAGATGGCTGGGAGGGGTGGCTTTGAAGTTTATTTTTGGTTTACAACATGTGAAGTGTTGAGAGGAGACAGAAACCACCTCCCTCCCTAGAAGAGGACAACACTCCTGTCACCCCTGCAGTTGATCATGGACATCAGTCTTAGGCTCCACCAGTCAGATAAGCACCTGCTGAAGCTGTGTCATTTTCTTGGGTAAATAATGGGACTTTTGCCATCTTACACCAAGAACGTTAAGGACACTGACACACAAGAAGTGAGCTTAGAAGCAGAGGTTTAATAGGCAAAAGAAAGACAAAGGGGAACAGCTCTCTGGTGTGTGAGAGAGGGGCGCCTGAAAGGAAATTCTGGCCTGGAATCGGAGTGCCCTAGATTTTATAGGCAAGACTGAGGAGATGGTGTCTGATTTATGCAGGGCCTACAGGTTGGTTGGACCAGGTGTGACATTTACATCATGCATGGAAAAAGCTGTTCCCCCACCCTAATCCTATTAGGCTAATGGGCTTTCCACTAGGGGGGTACCATGTTGTCTTCTCCTTACAGTACACATGGCTGGTGAAGAGAAGGGAAGATGGAGCCGCCATGCGAACATGCCTAGTCCCAGGTGTCCTTTTCCTATTGGCACAGCTGCCGCATTCACCCATGAGAGCTTCCAGCTTGCTTGTCTATGTCTGAAGCTTGATTTTACAGGCTGCTCTTTGTTAGAAAAGAAAATGATTTGGGGGCTACTCTCAATTAAAAGGAAAACCTTACTGAGCCTTCTGTACCCTCTCTACCTGCCTAAATAATTTCAACTGAATTCCTATATCACTGCCAGACTCTGAGCCAGAATGAGGTGACATAGAGAGGCTGGGACTGTGCAGAATGCATTTTAGAGAGAATGGCTGAGTGGCAGTAGTGATGTCCAGTTTCCAGGTGCAGCAGTGACATCTGTCCTAGCCTCAGGGTCCAGTGTCCAGCACCAGGGTGTCAGAGGTGTGAGCAGTGGCGTCTGTGCTCAACAGCAGGGGCAGTTGTTCCCAGGAGGGACCTGATCCAGGGTGGGCTGTAGATTCTGTTCTTGGATGTGTAGTTTTCAGCCTTGTTCTGTGGCCTTCCCCACAATAAAATTAACCACCAACACCAGATATACAACTTTATGTGTAAATTACAGAAATTTGTTTTCCACAGTTTGCTCCAAGAAGTGAGTGAGAAATCAGCATACGGCCCAGCGTCAGAAAGCAGCCTTCAGAGGTGTTCTTTATGTGAGAGCCACATCCCAAATTGTCTACCTGGCCTCTACCCCATGGTGGAGAGATCAACAGGGAATATTACATCTCATAATTGATGATATACAACCTCCCTTTTCTTTCTGAGGGAAAAAACTGCTTTTAACCAAGGTTTGAAAACCCACCTGACCCACCCACTCAGGCACTCTCTGACCACTGATGTCAGTGGTTCCCAATTTGTCTAAGCAACATGATTGCTAGTGGGGGTTAGAAAATCCTCAGGCCACTCCCCAGAACCCCTGTCTCACAGTATCATGCACAAGATGAAGGAATCATTTATATAACAAGCCCTACAGGCGAGGCTGATACACAGACATGTGGGATCCCGGTGTTCTTGCTGCTCCAAGTGTGATCTGGAGACCAACAGCAGGAGCTCCGGCCTTGTCATAAATCCAGAATCTCTTGCTTGACTCCAGACTTCCTAGATCTCAGCACCATGTCCAGGTGATTCCTGTGCACATGAGAGGTCCTTGTCTAAGTGTCCTCTAGGCGTGGGGTCAGAACTGTGCAGTCTGCTCTGGGTGTGGTCTGATCAGACCCCTTAGAACTGGAGGTCCAAGGTTCAGTCCTTG